GTAGAAAACATAGATGTACAAAATCACAAATCGCGATATCGGCGGAGACAGGATCGGCTGACGATGCAGACCACCCACACTGCATTTGGTAAAAAGTGCTATGAAAGTTAATATGTGATGGTAAAACAAGAAAAAAGAAGTTGTAAAAGTTAATTGTAGGCATGATGAGGAAAAATGAGAAAAGTTTGGTTGGAAATAATGTAGATAAAGCGAACAAGTGGCATGTTCAGTGAGTAAGATTGGAATCATAAAGGAGAAAAGAAGAGAGGGAGAAAAAAAACGAATTTTTAAGAGATGATCTGGTAAGGGCAGACTGGAGAGGAAGAAAGCAGCAGCGGGAAAAAAGTCTTATCGATAAAGATAATGCCATTCGTTGCGTTTCATACGCTCCTTTCCTCCTTACAAAGGTGACTTATTAAACGATTACAAGGTGTATAAAATGGCAAAAAAATGTCACAATAAAGTAAAAGTAAAGCAGAAGAGCAATCAAGCCAAACAGGTAGATCACACCAGCCATCGAAGGGTGAGAGAGTTAAGAAGTCTGCCGAGGTATTCTTGGCCAAACTTTCCTTGAGATGTGGCTTACCCTGGTTGTAAGGGAAGCTCAATGCCGTGTTTCCATGCCTCCAAACAAGCCTTGCGCCGTTCCACATGGACATTTTTTCAGACCTTGTTGGGATTTCATCCTTAGTCATATATACACATTGCGCCCTCGTAAAATTTAGGGTACAATTTCACTCATAAAAGAACTGGAAGAAAGTAAATAAGAAAACGAAATACAGAGAATAATGACTGCGAAGCATTCTACGCTCAAGGGCGAAGAACACTAATCACATGTTTAAAAATTCAAATTAAATAAAATAAAAGTTAAATACAAAGCCGGTCATGGCAACTAATCACATGATTGAACATCAGTCGAACACTTTTTGTTGTCCTTCTTAAACCCAATAAAGCACCAACACGGGGGAGGGAGGTGAAGAAAGCAGTAGTGATAGTTATAAGAACTCAACAAAACAGCAGCAATATTGTAAGAATTTGCCCAATGATCTCCTTGAAAGAGTTGGCTCACCTGCAAAAATGAGATCAAGCTCCTCCTTGTGGAACACCAAAACGGTTCCCCTCGGTGGAACGTCAAGCGCACAGGTGTTGATTTGGCAGCAAAAGAGCACCACACGTGTGTCGTCTCTGAAACCACTTTTTGAGCTATCGACTGAGAGTGTCCATATTCTCATTTTCTCCAATTCACATCACGCAAGGTTGTGAAGAAAAAGATCCATGGAGCGTAAAGCACTGCTCAATCCCTGTTTGGAATGGGCCACGTCTCCTACTTTCGTTCGAAATCGTCCTGACTTTGGAACCTAATAGATATAATATACTGGGCTTGTGCATCCTGACGGCCAGGAGTTCGGTTTGGCGTTTAAATCCTTTCAAACGATTCTTTTACCAGATGAGGCTACTGAGTAGGATGAATCATTGGCTTAGCGGTAATGAAATAAAGCAGCGCTGCTTGTCGTTGACCACCGATATCATCCCAAAGCTCTATGAAACAAGCAAAAAGAAGAGCTCCAAAAAGATACAACATTAACGTTCTCATCCCCTACAAAAGAGTGTACGCACCCCAAGTATATGGTGAAAGGAAAAGGGACCATTAATGGCAATCTTCACACCCTGGTCGCTGTGGAATGCCCTTCAAAAGCAGAAAGATCGTAAAAAGTACTCGTATTTTCATCGTTCTCCGGAAAATGGAGGATTAAAAAGATAATGCAACAAGTGCTTGTGTATAAGTAAGCAAAGTATTATGTGTAGATAATCAAAGCTCACATCAGTTGATGGCACTTGATGAGCACATCGCCGCGTAGTCCGCAGTTCGTGTTCAATATCCAACCGTAGTACATCTTTCGAGGTACTGTAACGTGATGCTATGACAAATGAGGCAAATAACGATAGAAAAAGAACAAGACGGACGTAGCATGTATTCCTGTAAAGGAAATGAAAAAGTAAGAGGAGAACCTAGCTTAAAGGAATCTTCCACGGACCATGGACCAGTGGGCGGGACCGGAAGTGGTTTTGCGACGAAATGCATGGTAGGTACGGATCCACGTTCATGGGAAGGTTTGAAGTGAATCCTGTTCACGTTCGTGCGTTCGACACGTGGATCCGTACCTACCATGCATTTCGTCACAAAAACTTCCGGTCCCGCCCACTGGTCCATGGTCCATGAAAGATTCCTTCAATTGAACCCGAGTGAAAAGCAGTCAAATTAAATAAATAAATAAAAATAAATAATCTTTTGAACGGCAAAAGGTCCGCTATCAATAAGATACCTAAGATTTGATAAGACTACTTGTTTCTGCCTAAGACGGGAATATCTCTTACACGAAAAAAAAAAACATTTTGAAGAGAGTGGGAGCTTTGTTGGGATTTCTCGCAAAAATTTGAAAATACATAATCAACACAGTTGCTACAGTCATGCCTTATGTGCTAAAGGCCATTAATCGAGCGACATTAGGTTTTGTGTGCGCCCATCCAAAGTTAGAAGCAAATAATATTGAGAACATTTGAACCAATTCAGGCGACTTAATTAGCGTTCATTCGATCGCAGAGGAGTTTGAGGCCGTGAAAACGGCTCCAGCTGTTATATGGCGAGAAAGCGTTCCCAAAATATCTATTTTTTCAAAAATCAACGTTCGATACTTTTGTAAGAGAACTGGATAGCCCGAACACGTCTACCTTTTTGGCCACGCCTCTCACCAATCCTTTTGCCTTCCTATTATGGAATCATGAAGCCCAGCGAAAGGTTACCCGTCTACGAGGGAAGGGGAGAGGGTAATGCACAACGAAACGTATAAGAGGTATCGCTGGCGTCAGAGTCGAGAACCATGTTGTCCGAACCACCATGCCTAATCCACACATTCTTTTGCATAATCGATGCCAGCGACTCTCAAAAGAAGCCCGTCGTTGCGGATGTGTTGCCACCAGCTCGCTGGTAACAATGCACCAGGCGGTCCGCAACCGCATTCGTTCACACGTCTGGCGCTAATTGCTGAGCCCCTAGTACTAACATCGCCAGGAATGCATTCAGGCGTGAACGAGGCGAGAATTTTTAGGGAGCCCAGGAAAAAGACGTAAACTTGACCGGTGTATACCTATGAAGCGTTTTCAATGCAGAATAACTCTCCCTGCTTGTCCGTACTCTTCCCAGTTCGGACTTTGGGTTATTGTTCTTGGGAAAAGCCTAACAAAGACGTGTGATTCATGGGAATGGCACGCGGAAAAGCGGCAATTGAAAGAGGGCTGAGCGGAATGCTCATTGCACGAGCGTGTAATTGACTAGTAAATGCAGAATATTACCGAATAAGTAAACTTTTTCCTAATACAAATTGAACCGGCATCCCGGTAACCGATGAAAATAAATCTAAAAAAAGCTTTACTGGAATATATTGGGAATCTCACGAAAGGGATAAAAATCTCAAAAAATGGGTAATGCCAGAAGTTATTTTCTCTATAATCGTTCCGAGTCTCCCCTTAAGACTAGACACAGCAATAAAATGGCACTTTTGATTTTGCAGATGCAGGCAAAACATATCGATCGATATGGAAATAATCTATGGGGCCATGTACGTTCGTATAAGCCATGAGCGATGATAGAGCTCAAAAAAAGTGTAACGATAAATATATCAATATCTATAGCAATATTTAGCGAAGTCAAGGTTCGCGTCGAGGTAGCAACTCCGGGCACTGAGCGCGAGCCGTGGCTATTTAGGAAGGAGGAGGCGGACCTATTTAGCGCATGAGACTAAACCCTTCCAAGAGAGAACTACTATTTACTGAGATCTTCTTGCTTCTTACGCAGGAAGAACATTTCCTCTTCTCGCTTGTTTTGTTGAATTAGTCAACATTAGCAGAGCATTTGAGCTTGAATCATTCGGAACAGCAAAGGCAACAAGAGCTTCGGATTACAAGGTCCAATTAGTCTCGAAAACTGGCTCCTGACAATGAGTGAGGCCTACACTTCCTGCTCTAGCAAGGGAGGTCATTCAGGGTGTGCCAAGCTTTTTCAAAATGGTTTCTTGCATGACATTGGGCACATATGTTGGACCACAGAAGCATGGTTCATTTTCCCTGAACGGCTCTCTGAATACAGAAACCGGGTTCCCTTAGTTCGATTCCTCGTGTGACAAGTTTTGATTGACGTTCCAAATTCGCGCAAAATGGAGTTAGCATGAATAATTAGTACCAAATTCATGATTAGGAACGTCAGTAACCCTTACAAATAGACTTTGATTGAAAAACTGGTGAAAAAGGTGTGACTAGGGACCCCCTTTTCTGGTATTCAGAGGGCCGTTCAGGAAAAATTAACCATGGTTCTGTGGTTCCCGCATGTGCCTATATCATGCAAAAGACCGTTTTGAAAAAGCTTGGCACACCCTGAAAGACCTTCCTTGTAACGTGATAAAAAACCGCTCATTTTCGACATAGGTATTGATTCTGACCCAAAATGCAAAAAAAGAGTAAGCACAGAATGTACAAGGTGACGATCGCCCTGCCCCTGTAAATCATATAATAATTGACCTTTCCACAAAACCACTCCTCCATCTATCCCACTTAAAGCGAGAGATTACGATAGGATTCTGTTGTGTTCATAGTGGAAGTGGAAGATGCTGAATAATGCCCTAGTAGCGAAAAAAGCAAAGAAATCCGTCAAAACGCGCAAAATGGGACCACTTTCACTGCCCGTTGACCTCCGATAATGGACGAGTTGGCAACCAACTAAGAGGTCGTCAGCACTCGTCTAAACATATCCACATCATACCGCAACATCATACCTGATTGCGTGAAGCATTTCCATAGAAGTTTATGCCTTCGAATCAGTATACCTTATCAAAATAAATCGAACTAGTGATCTGCGCAGGGCGAGCGGCGCAAAGTGCGGAGACAGAAAGGATGCAGCCCAGAAAACGCCTGCAAGGAGGCACTCCCCAGTCCGAAAAGCCCATCTCTCATTCTTTGGGCTTGGCTACTCCTTGAGCTGCGTCCTCGTTTCCATGCTTGCCACAGAGACTTTATCGTAATCTCTCGCTTTAGGGAAAGAAATCGAATTCCCAACGTATTCCAAATCCCAGGCGACATTCTAGAGGATTGAAGTTTTCTCATCAAGCGGCTGTGCCGATAGTTCTACAACAAACACGCTGAGCATGCCAAGAAATTGCAAGCGGCCAAATTGGTGTTAGTATCAGCGCTAATACGAGGATGACATCTTTCGGTGCTGGCACCTTTTGGCACCAATGTTGGGCTCCAACCAAGAACGCCAAATTTTGTCACTATGGGGAATCGACGTGGGATCAGTTTGATCCCCAAAAAACTCCCTTGACAGGTTCACGCAGCAGTTTTGGGTCCACTTTTGTAACCATCATTCCATCCCCATCTAGGACTCATCTCAAAATTGTTATAGAAAGTTGAACACTTCCCTGGTGAATCGACCAACAAGTCCCTGAGGACCAGCACCATTATGGTTCCCTTTTTGTGCCTCCTCCTAATTTCAGAGAATCGCTCAGAAAACATTGAAACTCTCTTGAAATCACAGTCTCAAGTCAAATGCAGCGGTGTCCATACATACTAATTCAATTGGCAGGTTACCCCGTTGAGTTGTTTTATAAGCTATTCTTAATTAAGACACCTTTGATAGCTTCTGACTCGCAAATTTGCTCTACAAAACAGTGAAGAAAACCTCACAAGATTGCTAAAGCAGGATTCCTGAAGTACCTAAAATTGCGCTTCTAGCTTACTGATGAAGTGAGCATCTACTGACAAAAAGTTCTGAGGCTGCAAATACCCTCAATTTCGAAGAACGAAGGGCGATGGGTTCAGACCGTTCAGACCACACACCACAGGTGACACGGCCAGAGAAAAGCGCGGCTTTTTCTTTTTTAATCTTGGCCGTCTTCACTTGTGGCGTGTGGACTCGACGCTCTTCTCTTCTCCGAAATGAAGGGTACTTTGAGCCGCTGCGGACGCTGCGTACAGTGCTAAGTGCGGAAAGTGTGGACACTGCGAAGAGCGTCAATACGCGCATTGGCGCATGACGCGTGGATGGCGCACAGTCGATGCCTTTTGACTGATCAATTGCAATTGGAACACATCCCGTATAGTTTTTGATGTTCCACGCGGTGCTGCAGTGGGTTACCGTAGGACTCTCCAAAACCTCATTAACCGTTGGAAGCTTCTGTGAACGTTTCTTCTATATTAGTCAGATGGCATCACCCTAAAAGCTTCCGACAGGCTTGGCACCTTTGTGAGTTTTCAAAATAAACAAAGAACTCCAACAAGGCAATCAATGCATGGGCAATAAAGCAGCGATATTAGAACAAGGTTTCCGCTCGAAGATGGTGGCGGGGGGATACTTGAGTGAATTCCTACAGATTTCATAGATTTTATTGGGAAAAAACACAAAAAAATGTAAGCTTACGTTGGTAGAGATTGGTAAACTGGCTTCAGTCGTTCATAGATTTTCAATGAAAGCACTCTTCCGACGAGATGTGAAACGGTGATCCGATGTAGATAGAGAGGAGCCGAATTCACCCGAATCGCACCGGATAACAACGAGGAGAAGTAGTTGATGTATCTGAACAATTAGCAATACATAATTCCGAGATAATAAGGTTCGCTGTGGTTAAGGATTATTTTAACGCTATTGCTACAGCCACGGACCCAGTCTGCCCAAATAAGAGCCATTGCAGATGCATGGGCGAACCTTATACATGGTTTTGGTTTAGAGCTAACAAGAAGGATGGTAGGTCGAAGTGGCCATATGAAATGAGATGTATACCACCTGATGCGTCTCTTGATTCAATCTGCCTTCCAAATCTGCTAAACGGCTCTCCGAACGGAGTTATGAAGCGTAATAGCTCAGTGGTGATGGTCCGGGGTGGCAGGTAAAAGCTCGTAGGATCGGTTCCTTTGCAAGTTTGTTGCTTTGCTTTTGTCCGCAACACTTCTAGAGACAAAAGCAAAGCAACCAACTTGCAAAGGAACCGATCCTACGAGCTTTTACCTGCCACCCCGGACCATCACCACTGAGCTATTACGCTTCATAACTCCGTTCGGAGAGTCGTTTAGCAGATTTGGAAGGCAGATTTGGAATCAGCGTCTGGAGACGCATCAGGAGGTATACATTTCATTTCGAACGGCCACTTCGACCTACCATCCTTCCCTTGTTAAGTTAGTTTATGATTTCTAAGGCGTT